GGCTACCTGAAGGGTTCATCTCATCACAAAGTCTTTGACTTGACAATCACAGTAGAGCATACACCGAATTGCTAGGTACCCGATCAGAGTCATGGTTTGAATATAATCTATTCATAAAGCCAGGGCTTTCGAGTTTCCTCTATAACCAATTGCCTTAGCGGAATAGCTCAGCTTTATTTTATACACATAATATAACCACCTTTATCAGACTTCATTATACATATAATATTATAATCTGGGTATACGGATCCAATTTCTTAAGCTTGTCAAGAAGAACCTGTCATAGTCTAGTTGTTGTTGAAAGTTAGAAAGTCTCATCGTTAGAGTTCAATTTCTAAGCAACTAACCTAAATTAGATTCACCTACTCGACTATTCCATCCGTGAAGATCATAATCATCATTGAATGTTGTCAACAAAAGTATGGTCTAGATGGTTTTGTGATGTCATACACAAAAGATGCCCCATGTTGTCCGCTCCTATGCATACCTGAATACCAAGCTTATTGTTTATTCCCTTATGATAGAAGAAGGTTATATTGGTCACTGCAATAAAAAGGTATGGTGTTCGAGTGTATCTTCTGGGGGTAAAGTCCAGGGTCCTTGTTTTATCAGGTTTTAACCTTGTCATCTTGTCAAAGATTTATAACTCATCATTATTAAAGAACTTTTAATTCAATTGATATTCAAAGAATTTCAAATCATAAGTTCGATTCAATGCTCACCATCCTTAAAGTAACATGAATTCATTTAAATATCACAAAAAACTGATGAGAAAATCCAAAAAACATGTTCAAACAAGATGTTACAAATGACAAAAAAATTCATGATAAACAAAATGATTTCTACGCAGCCAGGATGCCCTATTATTCTTCTGATGCAGTGGTGTTTGATTTGATTGGGTACTACACATTGTACTTTGGTGCCCCACTTGAGCTCGTCATCCATTGTTTCACCAATTCTTGTGTCAATGTCCCATTTTCCACAAGCATCTCTATCTCCTTTAATAGCGGCCTACAATTTCCATTAGAATGCCCCAATGCCCCTAAGTGAAAATCACAAGCATTATCTTGATCATAGCTGTGAGCAGAAGGGTCTGGTTTCACTTTCACTGGCCTCGGTGTGAGGTATTGACCTTTAACCAAAATGGGGATACAAATCTGAGATAGAAGTTTGGAACACTTTCAAAGTATTTTTTGATCTTGGGACTTTCTTTGGACGACTCGAGTAACTTGCTGCCCCTTTTCTTTTACGGCTGTGGGAGCTCTGGACGTGACATTCATTCACCTCATCAATTTTTCCCTCTTGGTCGGTTGGACGTTTGGAAGTTACCTTCAAGTTTCCTTTGTTGATTGCATCTTCAATTGACTTTCCAGCCAGCATAAGATCCTTAAAGCCATTCGTCGAGTTTCCCAGCATTAACTCAAAGAAAGGAGCTGGGAGAGAATCGTGAAACATACATGATATTTCTTCTTCTAGCAAAGGAGGCTGAACTTATGCTGCCACCCCTATCCATCTTAGGGCATATTCTTTAAAGCTCTCAGTAGCTTTCATCCTTATCCTTTGAAGGTCATGACATTTTGGGGCTAAGCTTTTAACATATTGATATTGCCCCAGAAAAGCATCAGCTAGGTTGACCCATGTCTTGATTTGTTCTCTGTTCAACCAGTTATACCATACTATAGCTGGACCAACAAGACTATCATGGAAGAAATGAATCAGCAAGTTATCATTATTTAAGTACCCTTCCATCTTTCTATAAAACATCCTCAAATATATTAAGGGACAACTAGTGCCATCATATTTTTCAAAGCTAGGCACCCTAAATTCATGTGGGATGACCAAATCAGGGACCTGACTGAGTTCTCTAGCTTCTAACTCCTTGTGGGAGACATTATCAACCTTCATATCATTAATGGCTTCATTCAACCACTTGAATTTGTCTTCAAATTGCTCAAAATTGACGAGACTCTTCCCTTGGTTTGAGTTAGATGCGCCGGGGCAAATTATCACTCTTGATGCATTAGTATGCTGACATTGATTTCCTTTATCATCCAATTTTTCTTTACCAACAGCTCGTGGTGCCAACACCTGGATCATTTGATTCGATGCGCCTTGCAAAGAACCCGATACTTGATTCCTCGTACCTTGTTGTAACCCGACCAACTGCTCTTGTAACTGATCTTGCGATTCCTTATTAAATTGCTCCATTGGTTCTATTTGTTTGTCCATGATGATGATGTAGTAGTATGAATGAATGATCGTGTTATTACTATCATATAATCTTCCATAAGTTATTTCCATGTTTTCATAATTAATGAATATAAAATGCTTAAATAAATATATGCAATGCAAATGCAAATGCTAAATGCAATTACAAAAGGTGTCATTCCAGAGTGACCATCTTTAAAACAACTTTCATTGAGCACAAAGGTCTCAGTACATCAAACAAACTTTACATATAAGGAATGGCTTTCACTCCTAACTTTTCTATCTCATTCAAAAGCCAAAGTAACTTTCACTCATGTTCGGGGGTTGAGTTGTCAATCTGCTTCAATTCTCTTGCAAAGCCAGCTAAATCAACTCATTTGTGAGCCACATCGCTTGCTTGGGTCATAACTTCTTTCACGACTTTGTCCATTTTCTCTATCTTGAGCGCCAATTCTCGGAGTTACAAACACTGCTGTTGATTTTTCCTTGTAAGAAAGTCATTGTGGTTATGAAACTCCTTCATACGACCACTACAGTCATCCACCATCTTCATCAACTTCTTGTTCTTGGCTCTAGTGACTTCTAGCTCAGCGTCAGTCTCCCACTTATGGCGTTGATATGAAATTTCCATATTGGAAATGGACCTATTCAACGTATGATTTTCAACTTGATATCTACCCAAATCATTGATAGTTGTATCGCGCATTTTCTCTGCAATATGTAGATCAAGATAAAACTTCTCGGCTTGACCTTCGTGCATCTTGCAATTCTTTCTCTACTGTTCAACATCATTATTCAATTTAGCGACCCCTGCTATCCACTCCTCTGGGACATTTCCTATGCCGGCAAATTTAAAGGCTTGTCTGATCCTTTGAAAACTATCCCGCATGACTTTCATATCTCTGCTCAATCTATCATTTTCGCTCCTTAAATGACGAATATGAGCTTCATATCTTGGCAAACTATCTTCTTCTTGGATGTGATCACTGATACCCTTACCTTTGGACACTTTTGGCTCCACCTTAATTGGATAATCAGTCACCAAACCCAGTCAACTCTTCATTTTGAACTCCAAAACTTCATGATCCAAAAGATGTTGGACTCGATGTTTGAAGGCGGTGCAATTCTCAATGAAATGTCCTTGAACCCTGCATGAAATTCACAACGAACATTGCCATCATACCATTTTGGATGTGGAGACTGCAGAGGTTTCACATAATATGGGGACACTTCTCAGGCTTCCAGCAGTGCATCATACAACTCTTTATATGATATTAGGATAGAATCCAAACGAGAGCCACCTTTTAGCTTAGGTTGAACTGCAGTTTCAAGTTTTACTTCCCCCGATGTCTGGAGTAGACTATCAAATACCATTGAGTTCTGACTGCATGACTTCTTTTCATCCTTCTGAATTTCTATAGTTGCCACTATTTCCTTGGCGTTTCCAAACAGCTTGTTGATACGAACAATGATTGTGTGTGGCTTCTCATACTGGCTAGAATCAGCAGGTTCTAAAGTAGTCTCTTGCATATTTGACACCTCAAGGTTGCTTCTGTCGAGCTCTGTTGTAGAAGTCTTTCTTCTTTTGGACAAAGCATCTATCCTATCCATCATCTTGTACATCTGTTCTTTTATCTCTCTTATCTCCCTTTGCTCTTCCTCAGCCATGCGATCTTCGGGTGCAGATATTTCCACTATTCTCGAAGCTTTCTTAGGATGCCATTTCTCATTTGTGTTATAGTATGCTTGATCACAAAACCCCTTGTCCATCATGAAAACCTTCTACTATGTTGACCACTCACAAATCCACACCTTTTGATTATGTCATGATCATGCAATGCAAACATCGTAAAAACAAGTCAGTACAAATAAGGTAACAAAATGACAAAAAACAATAATAACAAAATAAATTAATAAGTAAATGCAAAAAATAAGAATGCAAATGAAAATGCACGAGGTGTTAATTCTGAAAGTGACCACTTATAGAACAACCGTTCACTTAGACAACAAGAATTCAGTAAGTACACCATGTAGTCAAAATATATCTGTGACTCTTCATCTCTTCATTTCCTTGAGTCGTACTCTTCATGGGATCTAGTATTGCACCTCCAAAATCGTCGGCGTATTCCATCACCTTTGATGAAGTCGGATGTCCTTAAATTGAATCTTGAAATCTTCATTCTTACCTCCAATGCGAAGTGGTCTTCATGTCTTTATGAATGGTCTTCTTGTCTTTACGAATGGTCTTCTCGTCCTTGGTATGACTATATCTATCCCTTGAGTCAATATCTTCGCCTTTTCACTTTTAAAGGAATTCTTCAATCAGCTTCAGATCTCTTTATTCATCGGTCATTCTTCTTCATGGATCGTTTGAACATCTCTGGATCCCCTGGCTTTGACTACATGGTAGAGAATTTCTTGCCTCAATATGTTCAGCCTTCTTGTTAGTCAATCACTTGCGAATTAACACCCCTCGATGACATGAGGATGCAAATGCAATAAAATCACAATAAAATAGACATAGAACAAAAATGGGTTACTGCACATAAGATAAACAACAAGATAGTGGATGCCGTAAACATCAAATAAACCTACCCTCACATGTTGGCTATCCAATCATGCTTTAGTAGATCCTACCCAACATGATATCTACCCACATGCTTTGTCATTCGCAAAAAATCCTAACCGCATGGTATCTAATTCACATGCTTTGTATGAAAATATAAAACCTAACCGCATGCTTTTCTATTTCTCATACTTATTGCAAAAATAAATTCGAGGGAAAGGTTAGAATGAGTTTCCCCTTTGTTTCTGCGGACATAGATTCAGCACAAGATGAGCAGAGTTTCGGTATCACTAAAAGGATCCTCGAATTGTCCTTTGCTGGTGCCCCCTTGGGCTTGCCAAACCCTCGATCCTCACCCATTATAGGCTTAAAACGAATCAAGTTCAATTCGAGAGGATACATTTCCCTATGTCCATGCGAGGAAACTCAATGTTTCACTCGTAAACATAAGGCATATACCCCAGAGGTTACTTGCTAAAGCCCATACTGAGAAAAATAATTTTTCTCACGTAAGTGTAGCGTTCACCCCTACCTAACGGGACAGAACACAGTTAGAAGACTCTAAATATCGAATGGTTACAGCGACAGTAAGGGGAAACCCATAATCTTTTGCCTCGATCCTAGAAACACAACAAACCAAAGTAAATGTCAAAAACTGAAATATGGAAATCACACGTTAGTACAACTATTTACTAGTTAATCAAATCACACATTAAAATGCAAACAACCATTTAACTCAAACAAGAGATCAAAAACCAAATTAGAACGACCTTATAACTTTCGTTTGCAAAGACAATTATTTAATCGACTATCGGCCTGACTCTCTAAAAAAAACCCCAGTAGAGTCGCCAAGCTGTCGAAACGGTTTTTTTTATAGAGTGAAAGATTTTGAAAACCACACTAATTTTTAATTATTCTTTTCAAGATTGATTTTTAATTAAAAAATAAGCAATTTAGAAAATCTCTCTCGTTTCGAAAATTTGGAAATTCTTTTACGATAAAAAAAATAAATATGGTTCAACCAGTCGCCACCAATCTTTGATTAGGGTGTGATTGGACACCCAAAAACGTTGTCATTTTAAATAAAAATTAATTTTAATTAAAACAAAAAATTAAGGTCTGCGTTATCAAAATCTGAGTTCGGGAGTCGGTTACGCGTGGGGAAGGATTAGCACCCCCAAAGCGCCCTAATTTGGTACCTAGTCGATTAATTAATGTCTTTACAACGAATTTTACAAGTTCAACTTTAATTTAATTTTTGATCCCTTAAAACAACAAAAGTGCAAATTTTATAACATTCAAAAGCAACGAAATAGGTTAAATTAAAATTATCAAGCCATTAGAAAGATAAAGAATATTCGATTATTTAAAAATATTGAGACCAGATCTTTAGGTCAGTTCTAACGATATTTTCTCAATAAATTTAAATACCCAAACATTTCTTTTTCTTTCACTCTCAAATTTTAAAGTGAATAATCAAATTTTTTAATGACAATGACGGGATACAATTGTAATTTAAAACCGTTAAGAACAACTTTCCTGTAAGTTAAGAAAAGTCATTCCGACAATTTTAAATTAAAAGAGTATTACCCTTAATCAAATTATGTAATAAATGTTTATTTATGCACACGAGGCTAACCTGCAAATATTAATTAATAAATAATTATATACTTAATAAATATAAAAAATATCATGCAACATATAATCTTAATAAAAATTATTTACGTGTATTTTATAATTATAAATTATAGACTATATATATATATTAACATATAATGCATAAGTGTAACTTAAATACAAAAATAAAAACATATTATGCCAAACTATAAATTTTTAAAAATATATATATTTAAAATAATGACTAAATTTAAATAAATATGAGATTAAACATGTAAACTAAAAATAAACTAATGACCTAAATCAAAATGTACATAAATATAGGTTTATAACTAATTCACTCCTAAAATGTTAGTGACTAAACTATAATTTTAGCAAAACACTTTATTAATATGTAACCTAAACTAAACCTAAGCTATTCTCACGCAAATAACATTATTTCACAGCCGCTCAGCTCTCCCCATCTTCTCCTCTCTTCCACGCTCATTTGCAATCTCCCCTGAAGGTGCCATCGCCACCGTTCGGCCACCATATCTTGGTGGCCATTCCTCTTTTGATCACAGCCCTTTATCACTCGTTATCTCTCTCTACTTCCTCTCACACATGACCACCGGCTGGAACACCCAAGAGCCCCACTGTAAAGTAGCGTTAATCTCCCCTAATCGTTACTCAAGTTGGCCGAACATGCCTAGACCTAGTCAAGAGACCATCTTTTTTACTCCAATGGTCTTACTCCAACGAGAATCATCAACAAAGGTAACCCGAAACCCCCTCTTTCCTTTAATTTATTTTCTTGTTTGCTGTTTAATTTTAGATTTATTTGGTTTAATAATGCTAACCATATACCCTTAATTTGATAGTATAAATTCAAATGATTAGAGACAAAACGAGATGAACTGCAACTAAGGTATACACTTATACTATTTCTCTTATGTTTGTTTTAAAAATAAGAACATGTTGTGACATAAATAAAAAAGAAAGTAAAGGATAACCTTCTTGATTGATATTTCTTCGATTGCCAAAAAACTAAAAATCTTTTCTTGCTCTGTTTACAAATTCTTTTTTTGTTGTGTTCTGTAAAACACGAATGGGGAAGAATTTTTAGCTCTCCTTCTACTTGTTTCGGATGATTGATGATAGTCCCTGATTCCTTTCTATTTTCTTTTTGATTCCCCCCCTTTCGTTCTGATAACTGCCAGTTTTTATTCCTTTCATTTCACCGAAAGTCCCTTGTCCTTTTATCGATTTTCTTTGTGTTTGGTAAAGTTTTGATGGGTTTAGCTGGTATTAGTTGGAATTGACTTGGTGGTTGCTTGAACTTTCGGTGGATGATTGCAGGTTTCGTGAGATGAAGATGGCATGATTGTCGACAACAGCTAAACGGGTTAATTCTGGATCTGAGTCACACTTGGGCTGCTCTTGGGCTCCGGGTTTTAATTTATTCAAGCATGTTGTAATTGGTCTTCGTAGTTTGGGCCTGTAAACGTTGTAAAATAATAATATTAATAATAATTATAATTTTATAATAATAATAATTATAATACAATAATTATTATAATATAATATTTATTTTCCGGACAAAAACGGTATCTACAGACTTTCTTCTACAAGCTCTCGTAATTTTCCCTTCCCAGTCTCTGATAACTACACCTGACCATGCAAACTTTGTGATTGCATGTAACGGGCATCGAAGTTCACATTGACTGTTAGGGAAACCGAGGCTTCCATCGCACTAAAAGAGATGCTGGCGAAAAATGCAACCACACGTTGGCAGTGGTAAATTCCAGATACTGTGCATTAACAAAGGTAACAATTTCCTCTAGTCTCATCCATATACCTTCATGAAATAGTTTGTTCTGGGCAAAGCACAAAGCTCATACACCCACTAAATGAATGCATTGATATCTGCTATTGTATGAACTAACATCCACTTTAACTAAGTCATGAAGTCGTTTAAATGAGACGGCCAGTGAACATTTAAACCCTGGCAAAATGAAATCGCTAATGCACAATCTCGAATGACATGAACCGTAGATTCAACAACTCTATCGCAGGATAAGAAATACGGGTCATTGGTTTACCTTTTTAGGTATAGATTCTGTTTTAATGGTATAAAATTATGGTAGAATTTCCACACCTGTAGTTTTATTTTGCATTGATATGCACAACCCTAAATCCTATCGAAAAGGGCTTCCTACAGAGTGACACTAGCATCCCCGCAAACAAGTAACCTGTAACCACTACGAACACTGTACACACCAGACCGTTCCCCACTCCATGCATGAATATCATCCTGTGCAAATTTTGAAACCGGAATCACACGTATTAAATCAACCTCCTCATCAGAAAAATTACCAGCAATTACATCCTCTCTCCAACACCCAACATCCCTATTGATTAAGTCCGATACTATAACTATTGAGTTCTCCCGAGGAGACCTGATTCTACAAGGAGGACTCCCTAGGTGCCAAAATCGTTCCATACAGAGATGCAACACCCCGACCCCACTTTCTAGTAAAAACCCTTCTCTAACAATCCTATGGGACTCCAAATGCTACATCATATGTAGGACGGATGCGATCCTAAACTAAAGCCAAGAAATTCCCCACTTGGAAAGTACTTTTCTCGAAGAATACAACTCATAAGAGAAGATGGATTGGTCATAGCGGCCAGCCCTGTTTTTACAAAAGGGCGATATTGAACTTTGCCATATCGCAAAAACCAAGTCCCCTCGATTCCTTCAACTCGCATAAGACCTTCCATAAGCACAAATGAATGCCCCTTTTCTTCTCCGATTTCTGCCACCAAAAACGAGCCATGATGCACTCCAATTCAGTGCATAAACTCTTTGGGAGCAGGAAACAATTCATGGAAAATAATGGGATAGCCTGAAGAATGGATTTAATGAATACGTCCCTACCTCCCTGTGACAGTGTACGAATGCACCAATTATGAATGGGAGAATGGAATATATCTTTTAAATGGCAAAAAGCTCATTCCTTCTGTCTCCCAATAATCGCTGTAAGGCCCAAGTACTTTTCTAGGTTAGAGGAGCTAGAGACATCCAGAATACGTTTAACATCACTTCGGTTCTCATAGGTAACGTTAGAGACGAGGAAAATACCTGACTTGTCAAAGTTTATGACTTGTCTCAAACTTTCTCCATAAACACCTAACAAGGTTTTTAATTGCATAGCCACCCTCACCTTCGTCTCTCTGAAAATAAGGCAATCATTCGCAAAAAAAAAAAAAAGATGTGGCACCAATGGTGCATTGCGATTAATCCGAACACCTTTCAAACTCTCATCCCCATCCGCTTGTCTTAGTAACGAGTCAAGAAGAGATGCAGACTCAAAGGATCGCCCTATCGGAGACCCCTATGAGGCTCAAAGCGTTGACCAACTAAACCATTAACAATGACCGAATAGGAGACTGATGTTACACTTCTCTTTAGAATATTGATCCATTGTTGAGAAAAACCCGTTAGCTCCATAATCACCCATAGAAAGTGTTATTCTACCTGATCATAAGTCTTACTCATGTCGAGCTTCAAAGCAAAAAATCCCTTCTTACCCCTTCTCTTGCGAACAAACGAGTGAATAAGTTCATAGGCCGCGATGACATTATCTGAGATCAATCTACCCGGGACAAAATCACATTGAGCTTTATCAATACAAAAACTAAGAAACCCTTGAAGTTGAAGCACTAACATCGTCGAAAATATCTTGAAAAGCATATTGCAGAGACTTATGGGATGAAATTGAGTCAACTTTGAAGGATGACTCACCTTCGGGATGAGCACAATGTGCGTGTGATTAACATCACTAAAGTCATGTTTGTCTCGAATGAGCCTAATACAATAATCAGCCACTTCATCACCCAAGATGTGCCAGAATCGCTGTTAAAAAAAACGCTCCAAGACCATCCTCGCCTGATGCTTTTATGAACTTATGAGTTTAACCACCGTGTGAGGATCCTCCCTCGTTAAATTCTAAAGTAAAGAATCATTAATTAATTTCTGGGGATATACAAGGTGCAATCCCCTCTAAAATCTTTGGGTCTACCGTAAGCAATGTAGATGAAAATAGATTCACAAAATAATTCCTCGCAACTTCCTCTATTCCCAAATCACCTTCAATTCGAGCACCATCATCAGAATCTAGATACATAATTTGGTTCCGCCGCTTGCACTAGGAAGCATGCCTGTGGAAAAACGTTGTGTTATTATCTCCATTACAAAGCGAATTTACCCAGGCTCTTTTTTCCATTACAATTCAGCTGTGATTTTGTGTCCACAATTTCACCCAAGACCTCATCCGTGGGAGTTAGCTCCACCATAGCTTCCAACCATTTCTTCAAGTCAGTCATAGTTAAATGTTTCTCAGCACATACATTCTTGAACCATCTGTCCAGACTGTAACTAACAAAGCTTAACTTTTCAGGAACGGTACCCACCGCTTCACTCCACAGCCGTTTAACTTCAGCCTCACAGCTACCCTCAAGAAGCCAGGAGGCTTCAAACTTGAAATGCCACTTTTGATTAAACTTTTAAGCCACCTCAGTTTCCAACAAAAGCAGGCAATGATCAGAAATAGAATGATGTAAGTGAGATAATCTATAGTTCGGAAACATTAATCTCCAAGCATAATTTGCAAAACCTCTATCCAACCTATCTCGGATGTTTATTGCCGTAAAATTACCTCTATCCCAAGTGAACCATCTGCCTCTATAGCCCACATCATGAAGTCCGTAACCCTTTACTGCACTTCAAAATGATGCCATATGACATTCATTTCGCACCCGACCTCCCTCCTTTTCAAAAGAAAAAAAGTATCTCGTTAAAGTCACCCATGACTAGCCACAGACAATCTTGAGGGTCAACAAGATGATGTAACAAATCCCATGACCTTGCACGATGAGACTCTTCTGGATTACCATAAAACCCAATGAAACGCCAATAAACTCCCCCTCCACTATCACTTATAAGCACATCGGTATGGGAATTTGAAAAAGAACGCAAAGAAACCACACACGTTTTCTATGCCAAACAAAGACCTCCCTTGGACCCATCAGCATAACCTCGATCCCAAAAGGAAAGCCACATAACAATCTAACATTCTCCACTCTGTCTCTGTATTTTTGTCTCTATCAAAAAACTACGTCGGGATTAATATCTCTCAGCGTGTGCCAGAGACTGCGAACTGCCCGGGGCTGCCCTAACCCCCGAACGTTCCAACTGATGGTTTTCATTACGACCATCCTGATTAAACAGGCATGCCGATGAGACATAATTAATCCCTTCCCCGAGTTCTCCTTCTGATTAACTTCTGCCAAACTTCTCTGCCTTTTAGAATTGTCAGGTTTGCCCAAAGGGTTTTCTTCTTCATCAGATGTTATTATCACATCGAAAGAGTACCTTGCACCCCTCCCCACTAACCGATCCCCTTGGATGCGTCAATGGAACTACTGCAGAGTTTGTGTTACCCAAAGTCGTAACCTCTGTCGGTGTCCTCATTATCTTGTCCGACGGACCCACAATCTCCCCTTTCTCTTTTAACCAAGTGGTTTCTAATTTTTAATGTAATATGTATGTTCATAATCAAATTTAATAATTTATTATACACGTTTTTTTAAGGAATATATGTGTGTGTAAATATATAAATTTTATTTTAGGTAAATTGCACGTTTAATACTTAAATTACTAACCTAAAATTTATTTTTACAAAATCATATGTAATGATTAGTTAGGTTTAAATTTGATACTCTACATTTAAAATATTAATAGAAATTATTGATGTTGCATTTTAAAATAAATCAATGATAATGTGGCATTACCTTATATGGTGATGTCAACATCTTCGTTAAGTATTGAATAGGGGTACCAAACAGGGGCGGACCTATGTGGCCCACTAGGTAGCATCTGCATACCCATTTTACTTAAAAAAAATACTAACACTTAATATAGTATATCAAAAGATAAAAATTCTGCACACCATTTTTAATTTTTTTTGACTTTTCTGCACTTGTTGAAATTTGTGCACACCCTTTGTATTAGCTTCAACGCAAGAGCTATAGGCTTAGGGATGAATCAACAAATGGGTTTTATTTTATTGGGAAGAATGCCTTGTTGTATTCTTTTCGTTTAAAAATTCAAAAATTAAAAGAAAAAGGTTGATGAGACCATTTTTCCTGGCATTTAGTCTAATGAGTTAGTGGGTTATATAATTAATTAAAACAATTGGTTGGATAAAAGTATAATACAACTATTACTAAAGCTTCTCTTTTACGTTTTAGTTCAAATCCACCACAGACTCCAAGTGTAACATCCCAATTACCGGGCAAGTGACTAAATTGTAAGAGTTTATAAATTTAGTTGGTGAATTAGAATCAAGTGATAAGTCTAGTGATAAGTCTAGTGATTTATGGAGGAATTTTGTGTGTTGGGTATGATAGTAAATATGGAATTATAATAAGGGTAAAAGGGTTATTGAGT